AGATTTCCATTGCATTTAACTGGTGGGGAATCAACCATCTCCCAAGGAGCGAAACCACATCCAAGGTCATCAGCAGTGTATGGTGTCCGTGAAAATCCGCATGGGATAATACAAATATTCACTGTCTAAATTAAAATAATAAGTTTGTAATGACTTACTGTGGTGGGCGTGCAGCAAGATTGGATTGTACTGCACTGGCACCATGGTAGATTCCAAGCAGCCAATCAGGTCACGGAGATTCCAACCAATCCGGTGACCAGGCGTGTACAAATTGATTGGAAGATCATTGTACATCTACTATGAGAAACCAGTCGACAGCGAATGAACAACCAATAACTGATTGAGGCGTTTGATACCTATTCACAAGTGTTCCCTAATAGAAGTAAAGCTGTCCGCAGCTCGTTGTGATCTCGTCCCGTTCGTTGATAGGTCTGTAAGTCCTAATCTGATTTAACGTAATTCGAGCATGCGTATTCTTACTTTTTTCGAACAGTTAATACTTATTTGCTTTCTTTTATTGTGTATATAATGATAAAATTTTCAGGAAGAGGAAAGCAAACAATTAGCCCGCTGCTATACACCACACAACGAAGGAGGAAGGCAGGGAGTTGGTGGTGGGGTTTGAACATGCTCTCCGGGGCGATAATTTGGTGACCTTGACTGCTCGACCACCACTACACGAGAAGGTGGTCATATTATTACATCCGTTGCGTTTGTCAGAATGGGTAGCGATGGACCAGTTAGCATCCGAATGATGTTTCTTGTTCAGCTATAGATGAAACAAATATTGCTTGTTTTCCGTAGGTCCTTTCAAATTGATCACATTTGACGTAATTGTTTATGGGAAAGGTACGTGAGATTGTATTCAACTGAATAGGTTCGGTTGCTGTGGTAACAGTTGTTGTATAACCGTGATATTACTCATAAACATGTTTTTTGTATTCTTCGGCGTTGGACCTGATCACACCGGTAGTTTATTTTGAGGATTGAAAATACTAATGCAGGCAAACAGGCGGTCTCGGAGCTGATCAATAAAATGATTTGTAGAAATTCAACCCTCGCAGCTACCTCCAATCAAGGGGCTACGAGTTACATTTTCAAGACAAAGTATCAAACCTACTAGTTTCGACCAATCAACGATCAAGTAGTTCAAACAAAAGGGTAACGCGAAGATTATGAACGGCGATTGGTTGATTCCTGTTTACTTAATGATATTTCTGTTTATAAATTATTCATCTTACTGTGATTTTTAGCAAAGGAAACGGTACTTATGTGGTCTTCTTCCTGCTTCTCGGTAATGGGAGATTCCGACATAGAATTACCAGTAGGAATCCTTTTGTCTGTGACAGTGCTCCATCATTTGAAATGTGCGTTTACATGTGATGATACTAGACTACAGGATAACGCCAGTCACGGAGCGACGCGTTTTAGTTTCTGGACAATGGACCACAGACCGATCGTCGACCAATAAGAAGTCGTGCGGTCCAGACAGAATTTGTATGTATACAAGCACGCGATTGGTGGATACCTGGATAACCAATAAACTTCTTTTGAACATGTTATTTAATACCCTTGATTTGTTTCAACAAATGAACAGCACTTCTTTGTCTTTTCCTTTGAGTCTCGGCTACGTGAGATACCAACGTGCAAGTGCTAGTACGATTCAGCGTTCCAGTTGGTTTCATAATTCTGGTTCGTAATTCATGATCTGTGCTTGCTTCAACTATTACACGTACGTAACTTGCTTTTCCATTCTCTGCTTGGAGGGAACTAGTTCATGGTCGTTCACATTACTGAGTGGGCTGGCTTGATTTATTCATGTGTCATTTGGCTGAGGTTCACAGTCGTTCTGCTCATACGGCCTACCGCCTACGTCTCTACAATCACACATCTGAAAAGTCGCATTTCCTAATACCTTCCCACTTTTTGAAAACCCAAACCAACCGTATGCGTAATAACGGAGTCTCTGACCATGTAATGTCGCCCCCCTCAATATGCGCAGTTTCTGGTACCTACTCACTTGGTCGTTGACTGATGTTCGCGATGGCCATGGACCAGCAACCCTGCAATGTCGCACTCAGCTAATGGCGTTTCACCTAGTGTGACGCGAGCATGACACTGTTCACTGATTGGATAATCCTTGGGAATAAGACACACCGATACCAACAATTGAAGGTAGTGTCACATCGCTTCAAAGTGTGCCAGCGCCTATCGATCAGAGAGAAGCAGAGTGTGTTGGAAATACTGAATCAGCCAGGTGCAACTCAAAGCTCCGTAACGAAATTATTTGACATTCCAAAAACTGGTTACTGGTAACTGGATCATGAAATACGAATCACGAATTAGCAATCACGGACATCACGTAAGCACTGGATCACACTGGACCTGGTACGACAACCTCCCAGAAAGAACAATAAATCTCAAAGGAAAAAAACAGTTAGTGGATCCAAGAAATGCAAACAGAGAGTCAAGTTACTACTTCGTGGGAGCAGGACTGAGAAAAATTATCACCTCAGGCTATTTGAAAATTTTTCAGAAACATTTACTGAAATATGTTTTGTCTGTGACAGATGAGCAACTTAGCACGGAATCCGAAGTAGACATCCTCACGGGTATGCACCTGGTCAATAAAGCTTGGGTATCTGGGCGTTCGCACTTACCGATCAACGCTTTCATAAAAGCCGGGTCCAAACCCACATTGAACCAGCCGATGATGCAGCCACCAGAGGATGAATGCAATATAAATGAAGACTTAATATCTGTGTGTTGAAATTTTTGTATCCAGTCTCTTTTTTATTCAATGGATGAAATCGTTTCGAATAAAGGTAAGCGTCACAAAGAAGATGAATATGGAGCAGTGAATGCCCTTAGGTTATCTCAATTAAAGAAAATCAGAAGTTACTGGATCAGTTAAAGTTGTTTACTACTTGATTTTTGGCGGATTACTGAAGTGTACAGCTGGTTTAAACAGTGCTTTTCTTGAGTTCCCAGGGAGAGCCAATCTGAGACAAATGACGATTTGTGATTTTGCTAGAAATTCATCTTTGCTATCTTCAAGGTTTTTTTCCGCAATTCTGTGGGGTACTCAAATGTGGCCATTTTCTACAGTGGTCTCCAAAGCCACAGCATTCTTTCTTTCGATGGGCTCTGTCTTCTTAATGTGCAAACGGGTGAACGATAATCACGATTGGCTGGTGAGCCAGTGTGCGGAGTGAGATTTTAGATCCAAGCGATCGATAACCACCGTCGAGCGGACGCACCTGTGACAATGAATAAGCGATAAATTGCAACGATGAACTCAGAACGGTCACTGGCCAAAGGTCATCTTAACCCGAGTATAACGCGCCCCAAACTGTTCGAGCGATGCACTGTAATACGAACGTACTCCGGGCTCTCGCAAAGCAGCGGAGTGAACGGATATGCGCGACAGGATGTCCCTCGGCTCGTATTCTCACAGTGGGAGACGATACGAGGCTTCGCGGGCAACGAACGATGACAGGAAACGGTGGTAGGCATGCGGTATACGGGTTTGGCGAAGGAACACTGGCAGACAGGTCTTCCGTGGGTCCGGGTTGAAGCTAAACCTACAAGACAAAGCAAACAAAACACCATGATCTGAAAAGGTCCAGGGAGATACAGCACTTACGATAAAATATTACTCGCGCGGTTGCCAAGCGTTACAACACTTCCAATTTGTGAATCACGTTATGGCATCACGTTTTGAACTTAATCCGTCATCATGTCTACCAACACTGGCCATTAGGAATGTATCGATCGGTTTGAATATACACAACAAAAGCGTCTACAGACGCTAATGGCACACATTTTTCAACAGAAAATCATGAGTGGATTGTACAGCGAAAAATCAATTTGAAGCGTGGGTAAGAAGTCAAGGTACAGAATGTACCCCCAAAATAGATATTCCACTTATTTTAGATGACGCGTTTTCCTCTGGATGCGATCCTTTATCCATTGTTGTTGTTGTTGTGTTCGACCTGGTTCATTCCTGTTTTCATCGAATGGGTTAATACTGATGCGATTGTTATAGCTAAAACAGTTTTATGTTGTGGTGAACGCCATGTAATCAATTCCATGGTTAGCCTAAACTTGCAAACGAATGGGGGAATATCTGGAATTAACTTGCACCACCTTGATTAGAAAAAAGGGGTTCTCCTGAAAAATGATGGTTATTTTCGGAATAACTGGACAATTGAAACTGCAAGAGGACTGAATGCCGAATGCACCCGTTCTAATATGAAGCTGAAGGAATCAGAAAAAATTTGAATTTCTTCGATGCATACAGGATACGCATGATGGTATAGTTAAATTCCGTTATGTTATATAGCCTACTTAATTAGAAAAAATGAGAACAAGAAACGGAAGTAACGTACTCCTCATCGATCCCGTCTATTTCGCCATAAAACTCCCAGACGATTTTTCGTACTACTTAATAACACTTACTACTAACTAACATCCTATGTCGTAGCTCCCGGAATTTACCCACTTTTTCGAATGCCCGAGGGCTGCGACGTAACAGGAGATTGACTGTATTTGCTGTTTAGAGACGCTTGTAAGGTAGTCACATATTATCTTCACTAACGGTCAAGCGTTGTTCATTTGTTTTCATTTAATCAGTGAAAGTTATAAAATCTAAGAAAGAGCAACGTCCAATTTCGTGTTTGCCACCAAAAGCTGTTCGTTGAAGAACGGCGCACATGTGCTCACGTTTCTGTTGAAAACAGGACCACACCTGCACCCGTAACTATAGGTTACCACAACGCATTGATCGACTTACAAGACAACATTAATGTACCCATGCACAAAGTTCGCTTGTGATTGGTCGATACCAGTTTGGTCTGTCGTAATAGTAGACACTAGTCCGTTCCACCAATCAAATGCCTACCTACATTACGCTGCCTATGTGTCGTCTGCACAGAGTATTCAGTTGCTCGCGTCTATTTTGAAAGTGTGCAGGGTCAGTGAACACAGGCCTGTGAACAATGGGAACTTTTGCGGGCCATGCTTTGCCAGGCAGTTTTTTCATTTTTTTCGGTCTGTGGGCCGCCTATCACGCATTGAAAAGGTTCTATCAACAACGTCAGGCTACACTGCGAGGAGAGCGGGTTGAGGAATATGTGAATCGTATCTCATTTCCATTCAAAACAGCTGACGGCAGTTGTTGTCGTGGTCGCCAAATTCCGTTGGACTCTTATCTGAAAGCCATCTGTTGCATTGTGGGTATTACCGGTGAGGTCTATACCGGGTTCAATTCGGACTGGAAATTCGTGCACATTGGAAATGCTCAGCACTCGACAATGTTTGCCACATTTGGGTTGAGCGGCATCATGGAGTTGCTGATGTTTTACGGCGTACTCAAGGTGCCTATGTGAGTTATCCATCGACGTTCACATTCACTTCACCCGTATTTTATGTTTACCTATGCTCATGCATATGTGCCTGTGTACGAACTTCCTTGCTTTTAGGGTTACCCTGTTACTAGCTATAAAGTATAGTTTGAATAAAATGTTTTTCTCGTATTAAGAAATTGAATAGTACGTATGCGTTGCATCTATGTTTTATGATAGTTGCATGCCCGGGGCCGTAATACTCTTAGTAAGAATCATTATTATATCCACAAAAATATACACACTTCATTAGCGTTCGTACGTCTGAATTCCTTTGCCATCAACAATTAATGAGAATACTTGACAAACATTTCTAGGCAGCGGTGGAAGAGGGGATGAGGCTTGTCACGTGTTGCGTATCGTTACTCGAACACCTATGACACACAGGAAACAGTTACTGACATCGTCCCTGGTACAAGGAGGTACATATCTTTTGGGTCTGTGATAGTCTGTAGATTAGCAAGATGCGGTGAACCTCTCCATGAATGAAACCCACCCCTCATGATCGAAGGACTCCAAATATCTTCAGTCATGTGGGTTGTTCTAATCTTCCGGATCCTGCAAGAACAAAAACTTCATCGCCGTGGATTTCTATTCATGAAGCAGTGACACCGAAAATGAAAGGTTTTTACCAAATGGCATCACATTTCGAAGTGCTTTGTTTCAAGGAGGCAAAGTTGGTTCAATGGTTCCCACTACAAAAGAGCAACTGTTCAGTACCAGTATAGCTCGTTTGAGTGATCACCAGGGATACCGGATCCAGTCCTTTGAACAAGCAGACTTCTGAATGTGTTTGGCAGCTCATCGAATACGTTGCTTCCAGAGCAATGATAATGTGCAGATTTGGAAGTGACACCTCGATAACGTTTGCCGTGTACCATTCCATGTGGCATGATGCCTTTCACACTAAAGGCAGTACTTTTTTCTGAACATGATATCTGAAAGTCTAATCACCAGATAGTGTATTACCAAGCGAGAAACACCTAAGATTAGACCTGTGCTGACCTACTGACGCACATTCGAGAAACACACTTTCGAATGTAACCAGCAATAAGTATGGCTTGATTTCACCGGAGACAGTTGTGACAATTCCTTCTCATTTTATTGTGACGAAAAATAAATTTATTCTACCTGTTTTCTATTCTTAGACTACAAAAACGCTTCCGGCAGTCTTGATCTATCAGTATTGCTCAACCTGATTACCGAAAGTGATGTTAATCCAAACGTTAGCAGATTGCTCTGCAATTATTTCACAAATGGAAGGCAGTTTATGTGCCTCAACGGAGAAGGTCCTCCATTCGCCCAGTTTCTTCTGGTTTTCTGCAAGATGCAATATTTTCCCCATTTTTCTTTTCAATGTTTGTCAAACAATTTCCGATTCCTCTTGCATCCATTGGCGGTAAATATGTAGATGACGTTCTTTTAGGTTGCGAAGCATTCACTGCTGAAGAGGCTTTAGAAATTCAAAGCAAGCTAAACGACGATGTTACTTGGTCCTTGTCCCGTTCCCTCTCATAGAATGCTTCCATATGTCAGGATGTTGTGTTTTCCCACTTGGCCGATGTACGATATTCAGCCCTCACAGAGAGGTTCCCGCCCTCTCTGCCAATCAACAACCCGTACCGAAATCAACAGTAGTAAAATACCTTGGCGTCACCTTATCACACAATTTATCATGGTCACTACATGTTAAAAACACGTTCTGTAAAGTTAGAAAGCTTTCATATTTCTCACTCCGACTGAGATTACTTTCTGTTTCCCATAAGCTGATTGTTAGGTTTGTGAATGCATACGTGCTACTCCACTGATTGTATTGCTCCCCAGTGATTTTTCTCGGTATGCTGAAGAAAGACTTTTATTTACTGGTGAGATCTCTGAAACACATTTCTAAATGTAATGGCATTGTCAGGGATAAACTCCCCAATTCTATCATAGACAGACACCCACAAGCATGCGAAAGTTTCATCGCTAAAATACTCTCAGACACTCGCCACCCATTACACAACGAATTTTCAAAAGCTGTATCCACATCATCCACACGCTCAAGATTTAAACTTTTATTTGCACGTACCTCTACTTATCGTCATTCTGTTCTGCCATATCTAGCACGTATACTTACTGACAAGGAGAGAATTTCCACAGAATTGCGCAAATGCTTGCTTCATTGACAAACAATCTACTGCTTTCAGTTCCATTATGTAATGATTTTGTAAATTTGAATCTATAAATATGGTGTAAATGTTGAAAATTCACCCATCCGGATGCATAAAGCTACTACTGGCTTAAAAAAATTCAGTATGTATATGCATCTAGTCTAACGTGGTTAGTGTCCCTACCAGATTTCACGAGTCTGGTGGGGACAACAGACAAACAATGCTGAGGTTAGTCAAAGAGTTCTAGGTAATCGCCGTCTTCCATTGGTACAGGTGGTCGACCTCCGTAGATCACGCTGGTTGGGATATGTGTTGCGTATGTCGCCAAATAGGTTGCCAAGGCGCGCGATATCTGACAAGGCAGGAAGCGATTGTAAAAAGGTCAAGAGCGGTCCGACTAAGACCTGATATTGGGGTATGAAAACCCTAACCAGGACAATGGGGTACATATATGTACCCCAGTGACCTATAGACTCTTCTCGAGATCATCGTAACCGATGGTTAGAGACACTGAGTGTTATGGCTGGGTGTCACAAACAGTGGTGCTCGTGAATCTACTCAATGTTATTGCAACTCCAGTCTATATGAATTCTCTATCTTCACTTTGACTCTGCTCTCAACATTTCAATATTCATTCTGGTCTTTTACCCAAATGAGCTCACAAAACCGGCGCATCAAAATTCATGGTTAATCGTTAGGAAAACTGAAAATGAAACTTAATCAGAGGATTATTTCAAAGTGAACAAGAGTAACAATGTGATTGTCGTTCAGGTGAATTTTTACTCTGTTCTTAAACAACACGATTGGTTTATCAATACTGCATGCATTTGTAAGCAGAAGCTGGACCCCTGTTGTGAGGTTGACTTAGAGATAAATAAACCAACAGAGGTCCTAAGGATGAATCCGTGCAATTGTTGACCATCTTTTTACAGTGTTTCGCTTTCCACAGGAGTGCAATATTTTAGTGCTATTTTAAGATTGTTCTGGTCGTTTAGGGATCATCACAAGAAAAAGACTTCCACCCCCGACAGGAGTTGCTTAATTATGTAATATACAAAACCGATACCAGTAATCACCATCGAAGACAGTTGCTATCATCTTTTTCACTGGCACCACGTTGAATCTCAGGTTTCATTTCATCACTCCGACTACAGTTCGCGCACACAACTTTGAGGAAGTATTTCCGCTGTCGCCAAAAGCGTGGTCAGATCATCACCCTTGACGCTGTAAAATGGTATCAAGATAGAATACTGGTCATCTCTATATACAGTCGAAATAATCACCTGAGAGGCACACGACTATGATCAGCACCGGTGTCGATCGAAGCCGCATTGAAGAGGAGTGTGTTCACACTGAGCAGTATCCTCGGTCAAGGTTATAAGTGACCATTCTATTACCCTCTTAAAAGCTACCCATTTAAATCTGCTTGCAACGGTTTAAGTCACTAATCCATAATAACCGCTCGGTGCAAAGTAGCTCCTCTATTCGTGACGGCATTGATGCATGTAGCTGATCCTTGGTTTAGTAAGCAGATGAGAGCGCAAACCCACAACCAGATCGTTGTGAAGCCGAGTGAATAAAAATAAGCAAGCCAACTGCGCACAACGAGATCTGCTTACACAGACACACTGAGGTCACGTGTAACAGGTGTGTGCTTGTGAGAGCAATCGCTGGTATGCGTGCCTGAAAACTTATCCCAAATTCATCCGTTCAACCAGCTGACCTGAAGCGCGCTTCAGTGTGACGGACAGACCGAGAAGCATTTGGAGTCCATTTCGATCGCGTCTCGTTCTTGTGCACTCACAAATGGACGCATAGTCGTGACTCATGCTACCCAGTGGTCATCGACCGACAGTGTTCATTCAGGCGATCGCGCCCACTGCAGAGAAAACATGTTTTCACGATTCCTTAGTGTTATTTGTGGTTGTGACTGCATCGCTGTTCTTTATCGTGACAATCCGAATTCAAAAAGACAAGAAGGTTTAACATCAAAGGATAGATTCAGTTCCCTTGAGATGTAGGTGGAACCAAGGATTTATACGCAATCCTGGCTTAATCGACCCCAGTCTTACGATGGGCGTGGCCTCACCTGCACAAACACGTCAGACACTTGATTGATTGTTTCACTGGTGTTACCATTTTGTGTCAAGTTCTCCTGCCTTGTATGGATTCGGCTTGCTTCAATCGAACACCGACGAATGACTACTGTTGTGGCCTGCGGTCGAGTGAAACGTTTACCGTGCATCACGTGTTTGACCGTTGTGGCCTGCCACCACACGCACGGACGCACGTCATGCAGACTTACCCTGTTACAAGGTCGATCCACCTCAGCGAATCAGAGGTCAGTATTGATCTCTCCTCATNTCCTTTTGGTAAGACTTGCGCCAGTTCTGTGCCTGCCTGTCTGCGTGTTGACGCACTGCTTGCTCACCGGCTTACGGACCGGCTACGTTTGCGTTTGCATACTGGAAATATAATTACTACTTAATTCACTACTTGCATACTTACTGACTCATACGGGATACAACAGTTACCACAACTGACAAACGGATGTGAATCCGCTTGTCACTGAAAAAATGTGGTTCAGAATCACATGCGGAGCATGCGAAAAAGACTTACAATGCAATCGAGGATTCTCTGCTCCGTGGTCTTTGCGACCTTTGTCAACAAGCCTTGTTTGGGCTGTTCCCCACCATGGGTCTTTCGGCCATGTTCAAAACACCGTTTTGG